TCATGGAAACAAGGCTTATTCATGTATTATGATTAAAGGAAAATAATAAATTACATCAAATTGATGACCTTGGTAGTTCTTCTTGAGGAGGGGCATCAGTGATGCACTTTGTTGGTTTTGCATTAGATGTAAGACTTTGCATTTATACTAAAAATTCAAATTTTGTCTTGTCTGACTACAAAAGCTTTACACATTTGCACAAACCCCATGCAGAATTTGAGCTGATTTGTTTCAGATCCATACAAGCCCCATTTGAGGAGTATCTGGGATATTCGTCAAATGAGAAACCATGACTGTTTAGTTTGGAGGTACTGTACAGCATGATTCAGACACTTTATGGATGTCTTTCTACTTCTTAATGGTTTAAGAGCTCAAAAAGATATCCATCTTTGAATTTTTTTATCTTCTTCTCTTGACTTCTGTCTTTATATAATATTATCCCTGAATTGTTTTTAAAGCTTTGTCTGCATGGTTGAAACTTTGACTGAAATTCACCACCTGGCTGAAGGACCTCACAGAGATCACACAGGCTTAATTGCTAATTCAAACTGTAATTACCTCTAGGTTTAAGACACAACATTGTAAAAACTGTGCAAGGGTTTGAAAGCTATTGCAAAGCACTGTATGTAGTTGTTACAATTTTGTTAGTAGTAGGTAGTGTACAGTGTGGAAACTGCATGAGTCATTTGCCTATAAACCCATCAGATCTGCAGTTATTTTTGTTTCTTTTTCTTTTAGCTTTTAACTGCTATTTATTTTAAAGTCCCATAAGTGACATTACAGATACGGTTTTCATATTTAGGTATTCAGCTGACTGATAACTGCAGACTGTTTTGTTTAATCATTTATAGAATGTTAAGATTGACAATATTTACATTGTTTTGAAATGACTAATTTTAATAAATGCAGTTGTATTGACAAAAACCTTGCAATGAATTTCTCTTTTAATTTAATTTTTCTTTTTTTTCATATAGTAGCTTTTTGGTTTTAGAGTTTTATTGATTTTAATTTAAATTTTGTTCAATATAAACATTAAGAACAACCAGACATTAAAGACATTTTGTTGCTTTGTTTAGCAAGTGTCAGAAAAACAGTGGCTGGAAGAACATCAAGTCAAAGATTTGATATGTGCAGTGTATATTATCTAAAAATCTCCATCACGTTACCTGTTGCTGTTTGCGCTAAAGCACTTTAAAGTGAGAAATAAGTGATCCTTAATTAAGTAATATATAATATTTTGTTGTGTTGATCCAAAAATGTGAAGAGTGTGGTTAAACAAGAGCTGTTTTTGATCATTCAAGTATGCATAATGAATTTGTTAATATCACGTCTGTCCAATTAAATGTGAGTACACCTACTGTAAAGAAGTTTTTAAATATAAAAAATGTTGGCAGTCAATTATATAGGAACACCCAACCAAATTAAGCACCCACATAACATATTTATACAAAAATCATTAAGTATTTCAAAACAAAAGATATAAGGATTCTCTTACATAATTGTTTCTCGTGGTAATCATTATAGCACTATTAAAATGCTCTCACACAACTTTAATCTTTGTATTTGTTCAGTCTTAAATATCTTCCATAACATTTTATATAATATTTAAGAACAGGTAGAGCTTAATTCCATGCTGAAAAGTATAACACAAGAAACAACACTTCAGTTGATGATACTTCTTTATCAAGAATAACATAATGTAAACTGTCCATAATTTGCTAATTGTATTATAGGACCCATGGGAAGTTTTTACATAAAGTTGAATGTAACCCAGTTAATGGGTATTATCACTATAATATTAGTGCAAATTTGGACACCATGTTATAGAAAATATATTGTTGCTCTCAATCTGTCTGGAGAAGAGCAAGCAGTTCCAGAACTGAACCTTTTAACTTTAAGTAAACAAGATTACAAAGGGAACCACCTGATACAAGTATTCAAAATCCTCAAAGGCACTGACAGAGTCAGCCTAGCAGACCTCTTCGGAATGAGCAGTGAAACATGAAGCACAAGTGGGTACAAGTGGGAACTTCATGAAAGTGAACTGTATTTAAAACTGAAAATGGGAAGACGTTTCTTTACCCAAGCAGCTGAATTCTTGGTTCAATTATCTAATTTATATCAAATGTACTACCTTTTGTGCTTATGTTTTTGAGTGGACTAAAAAAACAGCCTTTTCATGCAAAGATTACTATCCTGAGGTTATTATTTGCTGTTGGAGAACAGTTTTTAATCCACTGGAATATTTTTGTTACCTTGGTTTTTAATTTAATTTTCAGAAAGAATCTTTAAGAAAATAAAATGCAGGGGAAGGAAACTCAAACATGCTGTTGACAGCACCACCTGCTGTGTATTTAATGTATTGCAGGTTAAAAGGAAATAAAGGACTTATTTTTCTTTGTTTTCTGTCGAATAAAAGAAACACCTTTGAGAAATAATCATTTTAAAATGTTTAATACATTTTAGTATTTCGTGAGAGAAGATCTAATTTTGATTTTCAGTAGTTAATTTTAGTATAAATGTAATTAGCTTTTATAGTGACCTCAGTAAACATAGTAATAGTAATTTAGTAACATGAGATGCCTTGTAAAAGACAAATAATAATTGTGACACAATACTGGAAAACAGAATGCCTATACTGTGTGATGGATTATTTTATTTATTTTTAATAGCATGGAGATTAATAATAATCTATCTTGAATCTTTTGAATTACAGCCCCATCCTGTGGTATTTTGTGTTTTTAACATTAGGTTCTTCTAAATAGAAGTTTCAATGAGCCACTGAACACTTTTTTCATGACCATTTTAAACTTTTAAAATTTCACTACAAGAAAATAAACAGGAGTTAGTTGAACATTATACAAACATTATTATATGACATTATTAAAAAGTGTTATTTGTACACAAATGGAAAAAAGAGCAGGAAAGAAGACAGTATATGAAAATGAATGACTATCAACAAGAAACTGCTGTTTCTTTTTTCTTTTTCTTTACTTTTCAACATCGAATAAACCTTTACATGTTCCTTTGCATGCTGAGGCAGCTACCTACAAGACCTATTTTGGAGGGGAGTCCTCATTACCTGTAAAGCGCTTTGAGTGGAGTGTCCAGAAAATCGCTATATAAGTGTAAGCAATTATTATTAATAATTATTATTTTGAACATACAGTAGATTGAATACATGATTGTTACATTTAAGGAATTTGTCATCCTTCAAAAAATGAAACAAGTCTTGGTTTTTACTTTTTAATTATGTTTTTGAGAAATTACAAATAAACACCAAGAAAGACTATCATATAACACCACCTACTGTTCATTTAGTGCATTATAGTACAATAAGTAGTTTTTAAAGCAGTTTCTCATTTTTAAATTTGTTGTCAAACATAAAATGTTTTATATATATTTCAACAAAATTTTTTTATTTTTTTTATTTATAGACATCATTATGCAGTGAGAGAATCACTTGCTTATTTTTGGAATGCAGAGACTGAAATATCTTTCTGATAGGTGTCCATCTAAGTGTTCCTTTAAGAAAACTAAAGTCTGCTCTACTTCAAATCCTAAATACCTATTCTATATTACAAGAAACTCTGCTAATGGAAGACTGCTCGAGGCAGGTTTGTTGCAGTAATAAATCACATCACAGTTGTATTTTAATTATGCTGAAGTGATCCAGTGGAATAGCAGTTAACGCTGCTGTGCCAACAGCTTTGGGGTTCTGGGTGCTTCTGGACTGGGGAACCTTTTGTGGTGTTTGTGTGTTCTACCTGTGTTCACACGGGTTTTTGTCAAATGCTTTAGTTTCCATTGAGCAAAGGTTTTAAATTGTCTGATTAGGATCAGGGTCAGTAGTGTAGCAACCCTTACCAATAAACTGCAACTTCTTTCTGGCAACCTGGAATGTGATACTGTAGTTAATTCCTCGAGAGAGGCTTAAAAGCTAAAGATTCAAGTAAATTTAGAAATTTCTCATCTTTCAGAAACCTACTTTAATAATAGACACTGTCTGAAGAAAAGCAGAAGAAAACTTGCCTGAAGATACAAGTAAAAATCATACAGGACAAACAATAAAAAAGAGGCATCAGCTGGCATTTCAGAAGACACTGCCTGTGCAAAATGTATTTTTATTGTACGGAAGGGCAGCCTAAGAGAATATCCTTCTAAAAGAGATTACTGTCAGGTATGTTTTAGAGCTTGTAAAGATGATAAGTTGAGTAGCTGGGGTATTTTTTTATATACTTACTACGTGTATGTAGTACTTGTGTGTGTTGGATATAGGGAATAGTTTCTTAGCAGCATTTTATAAAGCATTTTATAAAGTAAAAATATTGTTCATTTTCTGTATATCAGAAAGTTTTTTTTCTCAATATCTGCTCCTATGTTTTGTTAAGACTATATACCTATACATTTTCAAATGCTTTCTTTCTTTTCTGCACTTTTTCCATTTATGTACATACACTGTATGACAATTTTGAGAAATGTTCTACATTTCCAGCGCACATTTTCTGGTAAAGTAATGAAAATTTAATGTTTATATTTATCATGAACACCTGGAAAGTTAATATTTAAAAGAGGTCTGAGATATATTTAAGCTGCACTGCCAACTATTTGTAGCTTATATGAATATTTCATTAGATTAGCATTGTGCACACTCTGCTGAGGACTTAGACCATGTTAATAGAAATGGCTGCCACCAGTATGTCCTTTTGTTGAATGAGGTCTTATTTCGTCATTTGATTTGATTAGATGCAGATACATAATTCATATTTATTAGACCACCAAAACTGCACATAACATGATGGAAATGGAGGTAAAAGACAGCACATTTTTGTTTTTACTTGCATATATTAATGGAACAGCCCTTGTTTTAATATTTCAACTGAACGTGATTCTCAGAACATGATCCTATCTATTCCTAGCATTAATATAAAGTTTCCTTACACTTTTTACGGTATAGTTGTCACTTAATAATTTCTATATAATACTTATAGAGGTTTTACCAGTCAGTGTGGACATCATCAATGACGAGCAGAATCTTGGGTTTTCTTACAACAGGAGCAGTGACCACTGGCTCGGTCTGGCCAGGTGTGTTCTGCTTGACAACACCAGAAAAAGAACTGAGGAAGCTGCTTCCTGTGGATGTGGCAGAAGCTGGTGTCTGCTGTTGCTTTCTCTCTGGAGCCGGAGAAGCAGGAGAGCTGGTAGGACTCTCAGGCCGCTGAAGGTCCATCATATAGCCATTGGGTAAATTGGCTACAAAGCTACTATCTGAAAGACGTCTTCTAAGGAAGTTCATGATTGATTGAGCTGTGGCTAGATTCCTCTCCTGAAAGAAAAAAATGTATAATACGTTACATTTTTCCGCTAACTATGATAAAAACAAAGTTTGACTGATACACAAAAAATACATAGCACACAAAAGAGCAGACAACTAAGAACCTGACAATTCTTAAATATTACATTTTAAATATTAAGTTATACTGCCTAGTTCAAGAGTGACCAATTGAAAGAAAGACCAAATCCATTACTCTGAAACAATCTACATAACCATTAGAGCAAATTCATTCACAAACATGCTCTGAGCAGTTACTCATATGAGCAGCTTGGTAACTTCATAATGTTAAGAATCTTAACTTAGCATTATGAAGGGATAAAGGGTCTTGTAAGAATTCTAAATATTTCTCAATGAACACAATTTAGTTTAATATTTGTTGGAATAAATGTCATACATTTAATAGACTATTTTTCCAAACAGTCCTTTTCTGAGAGTAAACTATTTAATATACATTTGAAAATATAAAATACTTGATTTATATTATGTACAATGAATCTTACATGATATAGATTTCCAACACAAAATGAAAAGTGAAATCCTAAATAGAGATGACCTGGAAAGTTTTTAGACAAAATGTAACAAGCTAAAACTGTTACATCAACCTTAACAGAAGTATTAACACCTTGAATCTAGATTAATCTGTTCACATCTCAGAAGAAAACCAGGGTTGAAACTGATCTGTACTTGGAAGGGAGACCTCAAGGAAAACCAGGTTGATGCACAAGTGGTGTTGGTTACCAGTAGGAGGCACTCTTCCATACAGACCACCCAGAATGATATTCCATCCAGACTATTTAAACTAATAGCACAGTGTGGTAACCAGGGACGCTGTTGGTGTCATCCTTCAGATGATAGTTTGAACTGATATCCTGATTACTTTGCCATTAAAGATCTCATGACACTGAGAGCATGTTAACCCCTGTCCTACTTACTCTATGCTTGCATAGCTTGGCCTAAATTCCCCCCCTTAATTCAATGGGTGAATTTTCACTTCTCCCAAATCATCTGCTGTTATGGTGGGGCTACTATGCACAGACAGTAATGCCCGCCACACATCACCCATGTGGTTGATACATTTAATTAATGAATGAAGTGGGTCATCACCTACTGTATTTGTAAAACACTGTGACCAAAAGCACTATATAATGCACGGAATTCTTAATTAAAAATTAAATTAAAAATAAATTAACTACTATGCTTTATAATTCATATAAAACCACTAAATTAACCACATCATACACTCTTTCAGTGAAATAATCTTAAAATTAAACAATAATACAGCATATACAGTACACTAATTTTCTTCAAACAGAACATATATAATGACAAGAACTATTACATTCAAATTATGCCATTGTTTTCCACAGATTATAAGACAAGAACTTTCTGAAGAGGAATCAGTTATTTATTGTACCCAGTAATGATCAATGCTAGGAAGGGAAAAGCTTTTTGTCAGTGTTCTTTCCTGCTGATTTGGCAAACGAGAATTAAGGGGGATCATTGTAATATATTATTTATTGAACATTATAATATAGTAATATAGTAAATTAATATTAATAATACATTTTTTATACTTTTTCTATCATTTTTGCTAGTTTTTGCTAGGCCCAGGTTCAACTCCTGGCCAGTACAAAACGTGTCCTTTAATTAATTGCACCTAAAGGGGAAATAAAGACTTTCTATCACACTAAAATAAATGTAATCAGTAAAACATATATATATATATTGTATTAACATGTTGTAATTAAATAAAAGCCGACAAGATCACAGAGTACTATAACGATGCGCTAGTGAGATCAATGGATCAGTCGGAATTTGTGCTCAGAGATTTTAATACTTGTGATCTGTCTGCTCACCTTCCTACTCTTCAGCAATGCATCACATGTCTGGCGCGCTCAACATGCATCTGGGATAATTGCTTTGGAAACATTACAAAACAAGACAGATTTAAAAAATAAAGTTGAGCAGAAGCTTTATATAGATAATGCAAAGCAGGCATGGGATGGGCTAATTATAATGATGAGGAAAGGACAAGGCAAAATGTACATATTGCAGACTGTCCTAGTTTTGTCAATGAACTTAATCAGTTTTATACACTGTTTGACCACAGGTTTGTCCACAGACTCCAAAAGCAATCAGTGAGGTAATCAGTGATAAAGTTCCCATATGCCCACCCATACAATTGACAGAACAGGAGGTAACTGCATATTTAGCACACATCAAAACAAACAAAGCACCGGGACATGATGGTTTAAGGAGTAAAGTGCTGAAAGTTGTTTTAGTCAACTGTGAAAGATCCCCCTTTTTGATAGCATGGCAAGGGGTCTCCACATGAACAGTAATTGTATGTTCCCCGGATAGCAGTGGTAATAACTTCTTTCAGTTGATACCGGTTGGCCGGTTCGCGCTCATTAATTGTCTTTTACCTAAACGGCGTCCCAACCCATAATATGACCAAGTCTGCTACCAATTTTATTCCGCTATAAGTCTTCTCCGATTTGTAGTGATTAATGAAAACATTCATCTCCGAATTATCTTTTTAAATACTCTAATTTTATACTCTTATTGATACAGAAGCAAAGTTCATTTACAAACAAATTCTACATAGGGTCAATGAAAGGGAACAAGAAGTACATTCTTTTTGTACGAGGCAAAGGACAGCATTCAGAGATTTCAACACTTTACAGACATTTTGCTAATGTATTTGGGCCATAATGTGATTTTCCAAAATCAATCCGTTTCTCTTTCTCCAAACTGTCTTCAATAAGACAGCCCGTAGTCCTTCAAGCGATGTGCTGCTTTTTTCATTACTGCCAAATGTGGGACTTTTTCCTTCTTGTACACCACTATGTTTCTGGTTTCCCGCAGAACTTCTCTCAGGCAGCAGACGACCTGCCAGGCTCTGCTTTCTTCTCTTTTTATTAGTTTTTCTAGTCCAAGGCCATAGAGCACTACCTGGAAGTCATTTATGCCATTGTCCACACCTCTTTTGCAGCGTCGCACTCCCACAGCACATGCCAGATAGTTTCCTCTTGTCCGCATCTGTCCACAGGACACTTTTCTGCTGTCCCCATGTTCCATGAGTACATCACCGCTCTTGCTGGCAGAACCTTGTGTGCCAGGACATGTTGCAATGTTTATTCAGCACGTCAGGGTGACCAACTCTTTTCCAGACCCGAGTGTAGTTCCCATCTGCCAGGCCATGAATTGGACACTCTTGATCCCTACTTTGTACCATGAGTTACAATTTCTTTGTATTTGACAAAGTGTCCAGTGCCTCATATTCTAGTTTCCGTTTCTTTTAAAAATTCCTTATAATAATGCATGGGTACGAAAGGTTAAAAGGAACAGGAGTTGTTTAGGGGATTTCCAAAATCTTTAGTGTCATCAGATAAAACCCACTTAAAATCCAAGACATAAAGGATGCTCTTCCCCTATTTCCAACGGCTAAGGACAGGTACATTGACGTGTACTGTATTTACACATTAAAAAAAAACCACAACTCAGGCATCCCTTTACCACCCATCCCCCTCTTCTTTGACACAACCTCTCTTTTCACTCTCTCCCATTTGGACCCCCAAAAGAATTGAAAAATGACCCTTTTTAAAACCAGTAAAACAGATCTGGATGGTGTAAATATAAAACCAAAAAACAGCAGAAAGAGTAAAGTTACAGTCTTTACAACTAGGGCTTTGCCTTCCATAGTCAAATTTTGTGAGTTCCATTGACTGACCGTCCTTTGGACCTTCTCTGATAGCCCTCCCAATTATTACTTCTCTTTCCATTGTTCTCAAACCTTACTCCCCAAAATTGTATTTCCTTTCTGCAAACCATGACCCCCACATCTTCCTCTTTAAACCCATTACCAAAATGCATTAACTCACATTAGTTTAATTTAGGCCCTGATGCTTTGCATAACAGATTTGTTATTTCCAGCGCTTTTTTAATCTCCTCATAGTCTGTACATAAAACGTTTACATCGTCCATGTTTTTACTTCTAGCCCTCCACTCCCAGTGATTATTATGCCTTTAATCCTATTATCCAATCTTAATGCTTGTGCTAGTGGTTCAATACAACAAACAAAAAGGACTGGAGATAACTGAAAGCCGTACGGAACTTTACATTTCACTTTTACAATTTCACATCACCTGCACAGTTTGGGCTGCGTAGAATATGAAACCTCTATTCTCACCCAAAACAATCAGTGAAGGGATGTGTACCCAGTTCTGTCCTCATGTAGCAAAACGGGGATTTTCAGATGCCGTCATCATCCAGGACTTTTATAGGATCCCCTTTGACCAACCAAAACTTAGACAACCAAGTCATGATGTCTACCTTCATCACAATCCCATTAAACATCTGGATAACCACAACTCTGTTAGATAGATCTGTCACTTTCTGCCATTCAAATTTTCTAATTAAACTCTCATTCTTTTTCGCTTATACTTTAACCCAGAATTCTTCCAATAACCTTGCAAACTTAATGTCAAACCCAAGTCTTTTAGGTAACGTAATCAAACAATTCACGTCCGAACCCTAACTCATTCTGCAAGACCTTCCTTGAGAAGTCTAGCCGAGAGATATCACCACCTTCCCACCGGACTGTCATCACCTTCAAGACCCAGTGCTAACCACCATGGCCGTTACACAAACTACCAACAAAAGCTCAATTAAAACTCAACTGTGCACCGAACTAAAAAAAAAACTATCATTCCCTTGGTTTTTTAAACTTTTTGGGAAAACATACTTGCCTATCCTCTCTCTCTCTAATCCTGTTCTTCTTAACCGTGAGGGTCTGTGAAAAGACAACCTCTAACTGCCCCAGGAACTGTTTTTATAGTGAGCTAGAGTCTCCAGGTCCAGCCAATTCATATTCTTTAACAACATCTTTGTGATTTGAATGTGAATGTTATATGCTCCCAGGATTGTGAAAATGGCAGAAACAAATACACAACAGCAACCCCAGCTCAGTGATTTATATCATAATAAA